GGCTTCCCGCGCTCCTGCCCAGGCTGCCCTTGCCCTGCCCGAGCGACAACGCCAACAGCGCGCTGCCCGCTTGTTGGCCGAGGCGACCCGCGCACCTGCCGAGGTCGCCCACCTGCGCTCGCGCCTGCTCATGCGCTCGCCGAGACAGCCCGCGCTCGCTCTCTCCGTCCCAGCTGCCCGCTCAGGCACGCACCCAAGTCCCGCACGCGCACCGCGTCCAACCCGCGCGCACCTAAGTCCAGCCTGCGCGCACCCGTGTCAGCTTCCCTTGTCGGTTCGGGTCTGGGTTTGGATTTCCGACCCATTTACCAACCTGGGTCGGGTTAGGGTCAACTCGTTTGAACCTGGGTCAGTTTCGGGTTCGACTCGAACCCGACCCGTAACCCGATTTTGACACCCCTAACAAGAGGTGATTTCCAAAATACATTGCATTTGAAACTCAATCGTCCAAACACCCAAATATTCAAAAACGCTATATATTTTACACTCATGCTTCGTTTGGGGCAGCTAGGGGTTCAACCGAGCAAATCGGCTTGGGCTTGACTCGGTAACGGGCTCGACGAACCGAGCTAATCGAGCTCGCGAGTAGAGCTCGAACACAGTTTCAAGCTCGAAGGCTTAACGAGCTCGAGCTCGAATAGGCATCGAACTCGACTCGTCAGCTCGACTGGGCGGGATTCACGGGAATGAGCTCAGTATGACAACGCCGGATCAGATCTCGATGGCGGAACTCGCAACGGACAAGACAATGATAACAGAGCTCAGAAAGGACGCGACGACGACGGCGAAGCTCGGGATTGAGCTCGACCACGACTGACCTCGACATTGAGCTCGACGATGACGGACTGAGCTCGGAATGAATGCAAAGACGACAGTAAGTGAAGCTCGGGATTGAGCTCTACCACGACTGACCTCGAAATTGAGCTCGACGATGACAGAATGAGCTCGGAATGGATGGAAAGATGACGGTGGAGCTCGGGATTGTGCTCGACCACGATGGACCTCGGGATTGAGCTCGACAATGACGAGGATGACGGACTGAGCTCGGAACGAACGATGATGATGACGGTGGAGCTCGGGATTGTGCTCGACCACGATGGACCTCGGGATTGAGCTCGACGATGACGAGGATGACGGACTGAGCTCGGAACGAACGATGATGATGACGGCGGAGCTCGGGATTGAGCTCGACTTTGGACTGAGCTCGACGACGACGGACTAAGCTTGACGCGACGACAACATTTTATTCTCGAAGGTCGACAGTCCGCTCGACGAGCCGCTCGACATGAGACGAGTCAAGCTCGAGCTTAGATTTTGAGCTCGACTCGAGTTCGAGCTCGAGCTCAGTATCTGGTAGTCGAGCTCAGCTCGAACAACGCCTGGCTCGAGCTCGACTCGACTCGTTTGCACCCCTAGGGGCAGCTTTTTAACTGCTTTCAAAAATAATTTTTTTAGTACAAAAATATTTTGAACTAAAAAAATTTGTACTAAAAAATTGATTTAAAAAACAGTAAGAAAGCCGTACCAAACAAAACCTTAAAACATCCAACTAGACAAATCGTAAAGCTCTTTTGATCTAATAAAAATCTACGTTAGCATGAGAATTAGCTTTCTTCTTAAGCTTAATGAGGCATATTTCAGTTCTTACTTAGAATTTTCAATATAGCTATCATCGATTGATGGTGAAATTTGCAAGATCATTTTGTATAATAAATTTGCTAAAAAGAATTTAGATGAGCGTTTACAGAGAAAAAAATTGTGTAAGGATATGTCTTAAGTCTTAACACATTTCTCAGCAGGACCCCTTTCAAATTATAATATGTGATATTAGTCAAATGTATTTAAATTTTATACTGTTGCTATGAGTTTTAAATTTTATAAAAATGTATTGTTTTGTTTTCAAAATTATAGTGAATGTCTATATATTTTAAAAATATTTTATGCCAAGATAAAAAATAAAGGGCATAAATATCCTTAAAATTTTATACATGTATTTTTTAACACTTGATATAGAAAAAGGATTATTGTTGCTGTCATTAGTGGTTGCAGCCACTTTCTTCTCACTGCTGCTGGATTGATGCTGGACGGATCGGGTTTTTTATGGCAGGCTATTAACTCATTTTTTGGATTTGCTGGTGGCAACCTTTGTTGTTGCCCAAATCCAAATTCTGTTGCTGCTTCGTCTCTGGATATGTTTTGGTGTTATGGCAGGCTAAATTTTGGGTTGTGGACGATGATGAATCCTGCCACTCCTTTTGGACGGTCTACGGGCAACCAAAGGAGACTGATCGCTTCATGATTAGATAATTTATTTCTAAATCTAGGCCAGACAGGCTTTGGGTTCTTTTTTTTTCCGTTTCATAGTTGTTTTATTCAGGTTTTGCTGCTTGCGTAGTTTTTCTTTGGCAATGCATTTTTGGTTTTTTATATTGTAATCCTTGTCTTTTAATAGAAAGGGTCAAGCTCTCAATTTTCCCAAAAAAAAAAAAAAATTATGCATAATTTTAGTTGTAGATATTGGTGACTTTTTAGGCATTTGTTCTTATTATATGGTTTTTACATATTTTTAGATAAGTGTAAGGAACTAGTGGAGTAAGGTTGATTTGGGAAGCTGGCTTAGATTTTCTTTTTGCATGTGTTGGTATTTCTTTTTGTGATTATGACGTGTTTTAGTGATGGGCTACTCTACGTTGAATATCATGATTATTGTACATACTATTTTAGATTTTGGACCAATATATAAATATTAAATGTATAGCAATGTTTATATTTTTCATTGCTTGTATTATATGAAATGAAATTAGTAAACTCTAATTGATGATTAAGAAAAGAAAAGAAAAGAAAAGGAAAAATATACATTTTTTTCTAATTTAAATCTTGGGGTTTATATGCCCTGAAATAAAATTCAATTATAGGTGAAAAATAAGATAACGAAGCATTATATATCCATTGCTCTTTAAAGACATGCTGAAGGAGCTTGTGAATAAAGATGTTCACAGTTATAGTTATGCTACACCAAAAAAAAATCAAGGATTAATTACTGATTTATATCAAAATAGAGATGATTTTTAAATATGCATATTTCGCTTTGATTATTTATATTTAATAATTCAAAATTGCATGCCACATAATGTTAGGTGTGGATGGAATATTCTTGAATACACGTCGTGGCGTTACTTTGCTTGTGGCAGTGACGCAAGATTCCAATAATCAGAGTTATTTTATGGCATTTATAATAATTGATAATTATATTTTATGACAAGATTAAGTCAGTCAATAAACACAATGAAAATTCGATATTTATCTCTAATTGACAACAATACCGTCGATATTTTATCAACAAAATTTTCAGAGGCACACTATCGAGCTTGCAATCATCATATAATAATGAATATAATGATGAAGTTCTAAACGGATAGTTATCATGAGGAGTATCACTTGACTTCTAAGGTTTATAAAATAATAGAGTTTTTTAGATACTTTGATAAAGTGTGTTATGACCATAGTCATAATTTCTTATCTTGAGAATGAAGTTAATTTTAAGAGAAGTGCTCATGCTTTATTTTCTGAAAACTAATACAACTTGATGATAATTGTACTTCAAAGAGCTTCAACATTATCACCAAGGAAGCATGTTCTTTTCCAATGACTATTATTATAATTTTGAAGGATTCCCGTTACTCAGAGGTTCAAATCCTTCCATCCCAGATCATTTGCACCAGAAACGAAGGATTCTTCTCTATTGAAATTGAAAATGGAATTCAACAATTTTCTGTTTCATGTTGGATACAATGTTATCCAATCTTAATTCCAGATTTCTTATTAGAATCATATCTTTTTTTTTTGAAAGAATGATATTTTATGTTGGACAATCTCGAAAGATCTGTTGAAGATGTAAATAAGTTTGCTTAAAACTGATTTGTTTTTTTCATGTGATATTATTCATATGAGAAAATATGGGGTAATTTTCAGTGAAATTATTTCCGGATACAAATAGGCTAGTTTGTCCCCCTTAATGAATCGAATGGTCCTTCGACCTTCGTTTGATTCCGACGGCCGACATAGATTATATCTCATGAGACCACCCACTATTACTATGAAAAAAAGCCCTGCTTCGCTAGACGAAGAGTAAGCTACTTTTATTAGCACCGGACCATCGAGTCGAATTGATTGTGTCATGTGCAACGTCCATCAATGATGGTTCATTAATGTCCATTGATTTAGACTCCTTCCCCTTGTAAACATAGTTCTTTGATAGATGTAAATTGCAACCTACATAATAACTACTTTTGCAAAGGAAATAAAAAAAGAATCGGATAAACACCCAAATAAGGCTCAAACATAATCATATACCCCATTAGTCAATTTAAATTGCATATCCTAGATGATGGCCTAAATATTAATATAAATTTATAAGATATGATCGATATATACATATAAAAAGTTTGATCTAATGAATCTTCTATAAGAACATGCATTGGTAGCAGCTATGAATCACAATGTCAGTTATTATAACTTATGCTTATACTATTGTGCATATTATGCATGATAAGTTGCACATGCTTAAAATATATATGTAGTTGAAGAAAAAGATAGTGGATCCACATGAAATAAATGTAGTTATCATATTACCCCAATTACCGAAGTTTAGAAGTGGTCATCCAAAGAAAAATAGAATGCTTTCAAAAGAGGAGAAGGATGCGATACAATGTAGGTATAGTCAATGTGGAGTTAGAGGCTATGATAGAGTTAATTATAATGCCAAATGCCCACAATATTCATAATAGTTTTCTTACTTGGATCAATTATAATTTTTAAACTGATGCAACTGAATGGTTTATATGACAACATTATCGCTGGGTTTGATATTGTTTATATTTGTTGTGATTTCTCTTTAGCCCACAATTAGAAGTCAAAAAAAAAAAAAAAAGATTTTTTATCCGATCAAATGACTTTAGCCCACAATTTTGGAAAGCCCGGCATTTGTGCAGAGAACTAAAATATTTGGGAAGGGAAGCAGGAGGACTCAATAATGCAAATCCCTGATCGAAGGCAGATGATCGATTACCTTCTAGAAGACAAACTGTAAAGAAATGATTTGCAGATCTTAAAAAGAAAAGAGAAAAATTTGCACTTGAAGAAAATAAAAATGGAAGAAGCTGATGGCGACAGGGCTGGACGACTGGTGGTGAGAGCGTGCTGGTGTTGCTGCTGTTGTGCTTGTGTGGTGGAAAGGGCCCTCTTTCTCAACTCCCATGTAGTAATCAATAAATACTCGAGCAGAAGAAAAAAAAGATCTGCAAGTTCAGAACCATTCACTCCTTTTCTATCTCCGAGAGTCTGAGTTCTCTTTGTTCCGTTCACTCAGTCTCTCTGGAGCAATTAGAGAGAAATCGTTGGAGCCATGATGAGGTATTCGTCGCTTTGCAGCAGTTATGACTACGGAAACGCTGAGTACTGGAACACTAGATACTTGGAGGAGGCCGGCGCATCCTTCGATTGGTACCAGCGATACTCTGCCCTCCGCCCCTTCGTACGCAAATTCGTCCCCAGCTCCTCCCGGATCCTGATGGTCGGCTGTGGCATTGCGCGTACCTCTTCCTCCTCTTTTCTTCCTTCTCTAAAATGGTTTTTTTGTCCAATAATTTTGCAATTAGGGCTTCTTGCTTTGCAATTTCTGTGTACTTTATTTAATATTTTTTGCTGCACAGTCAATGAAGTTTTCTTTAAGCAATGATGAATTACTTTCATGATATGCAATTCAAGATCTTTTGGGTTTGCGTACTTAAAATAGAAATTTTTTGATTTTTTTCAAGCACAATTTATTGATCAATCTATCGAAGGAGGGGTCCAGTGAGTTAAATTTAATAATTGAAACTAGATTGAATGAATGAAGTGGATTTTTTTTTTTAGGGAAATTTGGGGCATAGCCCATTTTATTGAAATAAAATGCAAATACAAAGTTCAACATAATTAGAACAACAGGGAAAAATAAAACTAAAGCCCGAGCAGCAACCAACATTCTATAGCAAGAATAGAATGTGGAAACCAGAAGCTTTAAACATAATTCTATCAAAAACTGACAGAAACAGCCTAATTAAAAAGCTACAGGCTACAGGCTTCAGGCGACATAACCGAGTTGAGGATGTACAACCCAGTTCCACGCTTCCAGAGAAGCTTCAAAAAGATATCAGTGACTAATTTGGATGGTGTGAGAGCCATATCTACCCAGTTTTGAGAAGTGATGTAAGCAAAAACACTCCTCAAAACCAGAGTAAGGGAGCGCTTCAGAACCAAATCAGTCGACAGGGTGAAAAAGAAAACTTTCAGCCCAATAGAGAATGAAGTGGATTTCAAAATTGGGCATGCGGTAGCCTGATTTGTTACTGCTTTCTGTGACTTCCGATTCATTAATGCTTGGCTTGGTTATTCTGTGCTTAGAAGTAGTTTTAAAATTGTTATTTGAGAGAACTGGATTTTCTAACCGTGAAATTAATATTAGAAAGCTTTTGAAAACAGTACAAAAATATAATTCTCTAAAAAGTATTTCTACAAAAACGGCACGTTCAATCAACAATAAAAAAATTCTGCCATTTCAAAACTGAAAAGGCAAAATTAAGCCGCCTCAAATGAGGCCTAATTCTTCTTTTTAGAAAAAATTTGGGTAAGGAGGGGGATTTACTTATGGTCCATAAAATTTTTATGTATTTGTATAGTTAACGGTTAATTTTTTTATAAAGTTATACATCATTTTAGTATTTGAATCACAATAAAGTGTATGTATGAAAATGTATATTTTATTTTAAATAAATTGTTATTACTGATATTTTTGTTGTGATTTAAAGATTTGGTTGTTATGTAAGCAAATAGGAAAAATTATGTGTTAGATGTATAATAGAGAAGAATTTTGTGATATATATGTAAATTTTCTTAAATATATTTGATTGCTTTGATATTAGTGCAAAATATGAGCAATCAATCAAAATTTATATCACACTATCTCAAAATAAAATCCTGCATTGTTCATACGAAATATTTTGATCCCATTTTTTTTCCTTATTTTCTAGCCTTGGGATTGTCCCCAGGGTTATAAACAGATTAATTTTTTTCCCAAACAAAACATGAACGGCTACTATAGGATATTTGAAATCTGTGCAATATTTGAAACAGGAATAGATTTTAGAGGGCATGTGTGCACATAAGTTTTAAATGTTTATATGTATATATGCTCATTTCATTTGGAGTTTCTTACAGTAATAGTTAATTTATGCCGTTAAAAATTACATTAATTAATGTGCTCTAATTAAGATTTTTTTTTGTCTTTTCACCATTGGTTTGAAGGACAAGGAAAGATGCTAGGAATTCTCTTAGCAGGATCGCTATGAACCTTTTGTTGGTAATACTCATTATCTGTTAATCTGTTTGAATAGTTATGTCCGAAGATATGGTGAATGATGGCTATGTAGACATAATGAATATTGACATATCGTCTGTTGTGATCGACATACTAATCAAGAGTCGTGCACATATTCCACAACTGAAGTGTATCCTCTTATACAATTGTCCCACCTAATGAATTAGTTGTCTTTCTCCTATACACATCTTCAGGATGACTTATTCTGTGTGGACGCCGAACGCCGTCCAGAGCCCAATGAAAATGCGCCACGTCACCTCCTATTCGTTATCGCGGCTCAGTACTGCTCGGTATTTTATGACGTGGCAGTACCTGATTCGCCTCTGGACGATAAGCTGTGTCCAGTGTCCGCACAGAATAATCTCTCCATCTGCCGGCACCAAATTTTATATTTTGGAATCCTTATGTGATATTTCTATAGATATGCAAATGGATGTAAGGAAAATGAGTTTCTTTTTGGATGAAACATTTGATTCTGTAATTGATAAAGGTATATGTTTGTCTAGTTAACTTTGCTTTGGTGCAATTTTTCAACTGGACCCATTGAAATAAGTAAAGACCTAATCTATCTTCGTTTGCTACTGCTTTATTCCTGTTCTGCGTTGATGACTGCTTTAAAGGGACTCTGGATTCTTTGATGGTAATTATTATTATTTTTCTCCTGCATCTTTTGTACCTTTTTACTGTTATTCAATTTCTGATTCTTTATAGCTGCTTTGCTTGTTTGTGGCTTGTTAGTGCGGCACTGATGCTCCGTTCAGTGCTTCTCAGATGATATATGAAGTGAACAGGTTTTCTTCATCTTCTTTTTTGGCTATGGAAAATGATTATTTTTCTTATCTCTTACCCAATTTTATGCAATTTTGACATCGGACAATTGATATCATATAATTTGTAGGCTTCTTAAACCTGGAGGGATATTTATGCTGGTATATCTTGTATTCTTAAAGTTTCATGTCTCTTTGATTAATCAATATGATCTGTGTATCCTTCGGTTCAATTTTTTTAATTTCAGATAACATATGGTGACCCGTCAGTGAGAATTCCCCATCTGAATCAACCTGGATGCTGTTGGAAATTCACATTGTACATTATACGTAAGCATTTAAAATCTTTCCTTCCATGACCCCTCAGCTTTTACTGTTGCAGTTCTAGTTGGCTATATCTATGATTTTATGAGCATCTGAATATGCATCATGTAAATTTAACTAAAGTCACTACAGGAAAATCGTCAATTACCAGCGGTACTTTCCGGCGTTTTAGATGACTTTTCCGGCTGTCACATGACCGGTTTAATCATCGGTAATTCCGTCCATTCTTTGACCGCCAGTAATACCGCCGGTAATTGACGATTTTCCAATAGTGAATTTTGCTTATAAAAGAATAATTAACTAATTGATGCTACTGCCTCAACCACAGTAATATTGTGCACTATGGTTGAGGTAATGTTATGCTTTACTTGTCCTCAGACATCAGAGTATCATTGGTGATCTTGCCTTCTCCATGTTTATCACCTTTCCACAGCCTAGCAATACATTTTTTGTTTATAATTCTATATCAAGCAATAGTCAACTATCAAATTTATGTTGTCTTTGATGCAGAACATCACAGGACTTGATCCATCATTGTAGGATTTCTTCTCCCATTCATTATCAGATTGACTATCAGGCGTGTAGTGTTTTATGTTTGATGTTGATAATGTTGGTCATTATCTGTTTTATGCTCATCCGATTAGATCTTTTTTAATTCTCATGCATGCAAACATCTATTTGATTCTTATGTATGATCTTTGCATTATCATGCTATTATTATGAAGTTTTGTCATTTTGAATAAGGCCTATTATTGTAGAAATGTGTAGGATCATATAATTTTGATGGTTAATTATCGAATAAAATAATGACTTTTTTGGCCATTTTCTCTGGAGATTAATTCTTTTTTGTTTTTCCTAAACACATTGTTGTAGTGTCTTTTGCCTTGGGTTTTTTATGATGATCTAATGAGTTGCTGAAAGTCATACAACAAGAGCCTAAAATTTGTAAAATTAAAACAATCAATCTTAAAATAATTATTCATTACCTTTGATGAAAACTGAAGGGGCTGTTTGGTATTGGATTGGATTTAACTTTTGTAGGATTTAGTAAATCCTGAGGCTGTTAAATCCTGAAAACTATTTGGTATAACAAATGTTAAATCCTATTAAATCCTAAGAAAATATTTGACAACAAATTTCAAGATTTAAAGCAGTCATAGATTTAAATAAGAAGAAATAACACTAAATTACATTAATATACTTGTTATAAATTCAAGATAACTGCATACCACATAATAAATCTAACACGAGCTCGTACAGTAAAAATTAGTACATGCAAAAAAGGTATATGACACCATGATAGAGTAATATTTATCTAGACACCAATAAACTGCTATTTAATAGCATACTTCAATATGATAGAGAAGTTGATATATCTTGCATTGTAGAATAACTCGATCATAACAATCGATTTCTTTGACAATATATCTGAAATAAGAAAATCATGAAATTCTAAACCCTAAACCCTAAACAACGATCACTGCATTCTTTAGGCAGATTTTGCCTTTTTGTTGAAGGGTTTAAAAAGGAATGCCTTCTTAATCATATCTCACCAATATTGTCTGAATTTTTACAGCTAGGCCAGATTTTAAAAGTGCAGTTGACAGCAGCTCATTGAGATCAGTAATGGAGCCTGTTCCTCTGACTGAAAATGGTCTGCTTCCACCAGAATATGTTCTTCAAGATCCAGAGTCTCACTATATTTACTTCTGCAAGAAGATGGAAGGATAAAGTGGCTTCAAGGCTCTCTGAAAATTTGTATGGTGAAAAAGTTCCATTGATGGATTTCTTTCGGAAGTTGTGGCAACTGCAATTTTCTTCAACTTTGTTGTTATTGCAATTTACACCAATAGGTATTTGGATTTTCTTTTTTTAGATAGATGAAAATTAGAGAAAATAAGAACCATAGATAATAGTTTCGCTGGGATTGTTCCTGAAACATTAAGCCTATTGCAAGCTGATAAACATTGTATAAATTATAATTGCCTGTTTTGGTTCACAGGCTATGTACTTTGGTGACAATTTTTGTGATAAAAATATAGTTGAAGCTACTTTTCATGAATTGGCGGCAAGAATTTCTTGACTGTTATGTGTTATCCATTAATTTTGTTGAGTCCTAAGGGCATCTCCGACCGAAAACTTCATCTTCACTCCAAAATGTAGTTAAACTAAAAAATATTGTGATTCATCTCTAATCGAACTCTATTTTGCGCCCTTTGCAGGTCTTTCCTACATTCGCGCGTTTCTTCTGCAAATCGGATAAAGATAGAAAATAACGCAGGTGAACAGTGCAATGCCAATATTAGCGTCACAGTTTTCACCCGCAAACAAATACTGGAAGTTTTGCTGTTCGGCTGGAGCTTGCGGCGACGCCATTCATGCGTTTGGAGTTTAGTTGGAGAAGGCCTAAAAAAATAGATGTTGTTGTTTACAAGGCATTGTTCCATGTTGGCTCTTAACGCTTGTCAACGTTTTAAAAAAATAGATGTTGTTGCTTACAAGGCATTGTTCCATGTTGGCTCTTAACACTTGTCAACATTTTATTTTTGGAAATATTGGGCAAACCCCAATTTTATGAAGGCTTCATTTGGACGGCTTTCTTACTGTTTCTTAACTGATTTGGAAATACTATACTAAATAATTGCTTGAAGAAGCGGTAAGAAAGCCATTCCAAACGAAGCCTAACTAAATGATTTGTTATATATGAAGTCCAATATATAAAAATTCTAAAAAGGAAACATATATTTAGAAAGGTTAGCAAAAACAATTTGGAAACAAAAACATGCACCAAAACTATTAGCCCTAAAGTGATATATTAAATCGTAGCAACAGAGCAAAATTACCAGCCACAAAATGCAAAATCAAGTCCCACCAACAGTGCAACATCAAAAAAGATAACAAGAATGAAAGAGTAAGAGGCCAAGTGGTTCAATAAAGGAACAACTGGACTGTGGAGGGAAGGCAACCCCACAGTCCAAGAATTGGCCATTAGACATATGAGCAAGAAATTGCAGCCAATCTATTAGAACCAATTTAAACCAGCAGCCCATCCATCATAAATTCACCAACTTGCTGATCTCAGTAGGCCTAGAGTTCTGAATTTCCATCTTCAAAGTTTATAAGCAACCAAAAGATTGAGGCTTCATTTGGGATGACTTTCTTATTGCTTCTTAAAACAGTTTTTTTGTATATTTTTTTTAATTTTTGTACTAAAAAGTTATTTTAAGAAGCAATAAAAAAGCCGCACAAAGCAAAGCCTGGTTTTCACGACCATCCTAGCCAAGGAAGTGCTTGAATTGTAAGCATTCATTTGTTCCATTCCCGTTGGATGGAATGAATCATAATAGAAATGATAAGGCAATATAATATTTTCACTATATTGTGGTTCAGGTCATTAAAAGGTTGAAGAACATGTTGCAGCTTTGAGTAAGTAATAATATCTCTCCACTGAATATTGTCAGGTGTTGGAAAAATAGAGATGTTCTTGATAGCATTATGAGAATCAATATTAATGCTTTCCAACAAATCAAGAAGCCTGTAGCTTCCTTGGTAAATCAAATAGCTAAAATGTGAAAGCACTTAGGTCCCAAAATTTCATGCAAGGACACTATGGTTCATGGTATAAGGAGAAAAAAGTCCCATCACCAATGCAATAATTTGATTTTCTTTTCATGGTATGAGTGGCCTTCTTGATCACTTTCTAGGAAGTAGAAATTCTTATGGGATGCCTATACCATATGGAACCATAAGCACTAAAGTTCATTGAGGTAGAAAACTAGATTGAAGAAAGATTTTCCAAGCCACATATCTGGTTAAAAGTTAAAATAGGTGTTAAGCCAGTTCTAAAGTTCTCTTTAGGAAGAGTTGTTTAAGTCCATTATATATGGCATTAAAGAAAAAATTGTGAGTAATTGAGTTAATCATTTTAAAATGGTCTTATAGGTTGAGACAATCTATGGATAATTGTTAGTAGATATTCTGATCAAATGAAATTTGCCTCCTAATGGAATAATTTTTTCTAACCAACCAACCAATCTTTTAGTTTATTGATCAAAGTGGAATAATCTTTGGTCAATAGCCATCCATTAATAAGAGGAAGGATCATTATATCTAAAAGGGAAAATCCCTTTTTTGATACCTAAGTTTTTCTTAAAAATTTGAACAGTTTTAAAGAAAAAGATTTTAGATTTGGCAGTGTTCATCTTCGAACTCATCCAAAAAGCAAGAATAGATAGGATTTTGCTTAAGGAGTGGATGGTTAAGATTTTGATTTTATCAACAGCTAAAAGGTCATATGCAAATAAAATGTGAGAAATTGATAATTACTTATTAATGATAGGAGGACAATTACTAGAAATAACCTCCTCATCTTGGAGACAAGACATCCATAGCAATGGTGAATAGGAAGGGCACCATTTTGAGAGTAAAGTAGTCGTTGATTTCTCTTTAAGGGTGATAGAGAATGGGCCATTTATAATAAATATAGTTATCCATATGTTAAAGTCCATGAGGAATCCTTTTTGTGATTGTCTAAGCAAAATATAGTGCTTGTTGAATCGGCCAAGTTTTGTGCATAAGAGGTTTTCATGATCATTATTATTTAATATATATGCCGACTAAGATGGGTGAATTGTAAGATAAATAACCTCTTTGAGATGATTGGTTAAGATTTTGAAGATAAATTTATAGAATGCATTACATAAGAATACATGTATAAAGATAGCCAATGAATTAGAATGCTTTTATTTTGGAATAAGAGTGATGAGAGAATGATTAACTAACTTTGACAATTTATTGTGTTTGAAGAAATGGTGGACAAGTAGGAGAAATCGATCCCCAATGATGTCTCAACAAAAATTTAAAAAAATTAGCCATGAAATCATTTGGGCTAGGATTTTATTAATGTTTAAACTATGTAGAGAAAGTTTGCTATCTCAAGATAAATAGATACAAATCCAAATGGAGAGTTTAATGTTTTTTATTTTTCCTTTACTTGATTGAGGCCATCAGCTCCTTTGATATGCCAAGTAGAATTAGCCCTTTGATTATCTTATTGGCTTTCAAGAATAGTTACTATAGTATATATTTCATTCTAAAATTTTAATATTAGTTATCAAAGATGGATTGTGAGAGTTTTTTTCTCAAAGAGATGGATGGCGGGTTCCAGTCTTTTTTTGTTAGAAGCAATATAATATATATAAATAGTTCTTTCTTGTCATATATTATTCTTGAGAGAGTTTTAGGACTTTGAGTTTCTTATATAACACAAAGACATGATCTCCAATAGTGTGTTGATCCCAAGCCAAGGCCACTTTAGCCTTAAATTCATTTAGTATAGAAGAATGGCTTCTAGAGAACAACCTATGCTTATTTTCCTAAAATGTCCAATATTAATGAAGAAAGAAGAGTGATATGAAGACATAGATGGGATGATTTTTTGGAAAGAGGAGGGAAATAGATCAAGCTACTCAATGATGCAAAAAAAAAAAAAATCTGTCAATTTGGTGGAGATGGTACTGCCAATATGAAAATTTGACTATGTCAAAGTCCAATATTAGGAGTTCCATAACCCTAGTTTGAAAGATCCTATGAAATTATTTAATTTATTTTAATGGATTAGATCCATTCCAATGTTTTCATGGCTAAAGATAATATAATTAAAATCTCCCTGGACTAACCACCCTACATTGAGTGAACAAGAAATATCATGAAGAGAAGCCCACACATTATTTTCTTTCTTTAGCATTATTGGATGCATATATTAACATAATAAGACATTTGAAATCACCAAAAGAAACAACCTTGACATGGATGAGTAGAGGGGTGAAGAGAATAGGCTTGAAGAAGATATACAAAGAATTCCATTTAATTCAATATTTTCCATCCATTCCTTACAAAAAAATTGTGATAACTTTCTTCATTATTATATATATATAATGAACCTACAAAATGTCTTGACTCACTTTGTTTCTATAAGCAAATAAAGTCTAATTTCATGTATCGGATCAACCTCTTCCATTCTTGAACACAATCTTAAGCTTGAAGTACCCTTACATTCTAGGAAACTAATAACATGTATGATTATTGCTTGTTCTTTTAAGGTCTAGGGTTTGAAGAACTATGAAATTGGCAAATGATTCATGAGTTGTGTCGGGGTCTTTGTCTTGAATAGTAATTAGAGGAGGGTTTAGCATTGTGAATGGTCTACAATTAAGAAAATTGAGAAGTTAGATAGGGGGCTACCTAGGTGTTACTAGGGATTTGAGTCTTTTTTGTATTAGAAATCTTAAGTGTTGGTGATATTGAGGGTAGGTATAGTTGAAACAATTTTGTGAGTTATTTCATAAAATGTTTTTAGAGTTAGGACACTAGATTTGGAGATGGACTTGCCTCAATTTCTCCAAAAATGAGTGCAACTCCTTCCTCTAGATGTGATGATGTTTAGATTGTTCTGAATAAGGCATTTCTTAAGTTAGAGATAATGTTGATTCATGTGACTGAAGGTGTTGTAATTTGTGGTCCAATTCCTTTGCACTTTTATTTGTTTTAGTTTTTTTGGCTTTTCTGTTGTCTTTCTTTCTGTCTGAAAGCCATGAGCTGTATTTGTACATGATTCTTTTGAGGAAGAAAAAGATAGATGATCTGTTCCGCTGCATTTGATGTTTATAGTAGCTCTGTGCGTCTGTTTTTGTCTATATGTTTGGAAGAAAGTTCTGAAACAAATTCCAAAGCCAGATCCTGGAATCAGTTCAGTCAGTCTGAAAGTTCAGGCCCCACGACCCGATGCGAGCGGGATCCGTCCCGGTCGGGTTGGGTCGTGACATGGTATGACAACATTGATCAGGTAGTGGGCTAATGACAATGATCGAGCAATGGTCCAATGGAGCTCTGGAAATATTTAAGTCTTTGAGCTCTCTTGAATTTCAAACCAATGATCTAAACTCCCTTTCAAATAGAGAGTGAGCTTATTTATATATTTTTGAGAGTGAAGTTCTCCATAAATATAATAAAAATTTGAAACACTCCATAAGAAAGCTTATATTGATTTTTTTAATTGTAAATCATTCTTTTAGCATTTATGTTTCTTAATGATGTTGAAATTAGATGATTTTTGGCTAATATTATTAGAATTATCAAGATGCTTAAATTGATTATATGCATGTGAGATTTGAAAATTGTTTTTGCCTCCAATTAATACCTCAAATTTCTAATTATGCTTCAGCCTTCAAGTCTTTGATTTGGGCTCATTTGAAGTCTAATTACATCATTTTAGATGTTGATGGGTTTGTTGAATTGAGATGTTTAATTCAAATTACCAGAGTTTGGATGGCTCTGTATATAGTTTCAAAAATTTCAAATTTAAATATGCATCAAGACACACGTGATCAAATTGCTTTTTGATGATGTATTAGATGCACACCCCTTATGTAAAAAAAAAAATGAATAAAATTCGTAAAAACTGATTTTATGTAAGCTTAGAATCCGGTTTATGTGGTACATACACTGATCAATATGTGCTATTTTTAAAATTATTAAAATTGTATGTAGTGCATAAATGTTTGTTATAAGTATTTGAACTCATTTTAAGTCATATACATTTGTATACAAGTATTATTTTTCAAGATAATCAAATTGCAATGCTATACATATGTGTGTTAATTTGCACGAAATGTCTTAGGACCTATTCTACATACTATAAACACACATGTTTACATGTATTTTTTAGTAAAAAAGATAATATTTTTACTTTGTGAGGTTATACAACAAATACATTGAAAATTCTCCGTTTTTTACAAAACTATACATATACTGTATACTCTCACAAATCCGATCGGTTCAGACTACGTGCGTAATAATTTCTCCATATGAAAAACACCCCCAATTTCACATCTATGAGCCCCTTTCAGAAGTCTAGAAATTGGGGTTGTTCTAATAACTTAGAAGTTTATATGCTCTCACATATCTTCATGATATGCGCTAGAATAACCTTCATGATATTCTTCTAAATTTTTAGGCTTACAATGAAAGCAGAAGAGAGAAGAAAAATAGCAAACAAGCTCGATCACAAGTAGAAGCTTGTGGAGACCAACTCTTCTGCTGTTCTGAAGAAGCAGTGATTACAATGCTTAAGTAGGAAAAAAAAAAAACAGTGTTGACAATGCTCAACTAGAAACAAGTAAATCTTTGTAAAAACTAATTGCTAGTCAATTTCAAATGTTCATCCACTCGATGAAGTTTCACTACTTATTAAAACTGGACATGAAAGAATCAGATATTCTTATACAGATATATTTGCACACTATTTCCTTCGTAACTCTCCGACTATTCTTCACAAGCCTCGGGTTAACCGAGTAGCTGGCGGCTTCGTAGCAGCAGTAAAACTAGGCCTCTGTTTCAGCCCTGTCATCAATCCTCCCCCTACTTTATGAAAGGAAAGCCTCGTCTTGAGAGGTGAGACTAACCTGTTTGCCAGTTTAGATGGAGAAAAAGAATAACGCCGTTGATTCGAAGCAGATCCCTTAGTCTTGACTGGTGAAATAGTTACCTCAGGCACTGCCTTCTTGCTCTTGAAATGTGAACTCAGAGTCATATGTTGAGATTTTATCAAGAACTTATGTGGAGTCTGTGAAGGCCTTGCAATAGGAGATCTGGTTTTGTAGAAGCTTTTTTGTTGTGAACTCAGAGTCGCATTTTGAGATTTTATCAAGAACTTATGTGGAGTCTGTGAAGGTCTTGCAGCAATCGGAGATCTGGTTTTGAAGAAGATTTTCTGGTGCGTGGATGTAGGAGAAGTGGAGTGAAAGAGCGGGTTGGGAAAAAGAACCGTTTTCTTCTTCCAAGGTCTGTTTTTTGGCGAAACCCGATTAACTGAAACCAAAGGTCTGGATCCTGTCATATTTGCCTCCCTTATGTTAGGAGGAGAGGTGGTTTTAAAACTTATTCGAGATCTAGATCTGCGAAGAACTGGAGAGCCGGTTTCCAAACGTGATCGACTCATGGTCTGTTTTTCCCTTGCACGCCTTGCCCTCAGTTCTGTGCTCTCTAACTTTCTACTTCTGGAGCCAGTGGCCGGAGTTCTTGGGTCAATTTCTGTGCTTGCGTTTGAAAGATTGGAAACTATCTTGCTTGCTTGGAGAATCTCGGCCACTGTTTCGTTGAGCAGCATAGCAGATATGGACATCCTTCTCCAGTCCTCTGCTATAATAAAATGCAGAAAGAAAAGCGGGGAAGAAGAAGAGGAATGAGTCGAATGAGTCGATCTCCAATTAGAATGAAGATAACAGAGGAAAACCTGGATTTTTTTTTAGTCTTTACCATTTGCTTTTTCTTGAAACTTTGACGCCGGTGATCTCTTGGCTGCTACAGTCTTCAACCTTCAGGGGTTAAAAAAGAAAGTAAGCACCTGAATCTGGTACTGGGGGAGAGGAAACCAGAGAATTTTGAACAGGAATCTCTGGTATGGAGAATGGACATACAAACCTCAAGGATTCTTGCTTGCAACCGTGACTGGTTCTGATGTATCCTCTGGTGCTGCGTGGGCTGACCTTCAGGCCGGAGATAATCTTCGTGCCTTTGGTCACCGTGAACTGGATCTCTTGCAAACGAGTAATACATTTGTCCACCTTTGCACAGAAAAAATTATAAGAAATGGGAGAAACAAAGACGGAAAATAAGAGGAGGAAGAGGGTTGAAAGGAGAAGATGGATACCTTTTGAATTGTTTCTCGGATGAGTATTGGATTGATGGCAGTGTTCATTCTATTCGGGATGGTGGGAGCTTTAGCCACCATTGTTGATTTCTTTCCGACTTGTTCTATCGCTAGATCTCTTCTTCTCTTCCACCTTGTTATCTAAGGAGATTTGAAAGAGTTGAAAGGGAGTTTGAACTCCACTAACGTATCTAAACTGGATTTTAACGGTCGTCTATCTACCCTTTGTAACGGCTACTTTCCTTTTTTATTTAATAAATCTAACGCAAATTTTTTGCTCTACTAAATGATGAACAGCAATGGGTGGTCCCGAAGGCGTCCATGGCGTGCCACGTGTCTATACGATCATGACAAATGTAATGCATAGAAATTCTTGAAAAAAATCTTACAAGGAAATTATTTAAGAGGATAAACAAATATTAAAGCTAAATAAACTTTCAAATGAATCATGGAGGGTATAAATGTCTTTTTGCATATACAACGTTAGTTCGTTCGTAGTTCGTAATTCGGTTTGTAGCCAAAAGTCTGAAAATATTTCAACTATTTATTACAAAAAAAAAATTTAATTGATGAGCTTTTCCTCTACTAGGGTTTCGCATCTTTTCTGTGTTTTCTAGCCGCCACCGTCTTCCTTCGTGGAGGATCCCCTCCGGGATGTCCTCCACATCCTTCCCTCCGTGCAACCCCCACCCCTCTTCCTCCACTCCTCTTCCTAAGGACTGGAAGAACCTTTTCGCATCGCAACCGCTAGTGTCGAATGAGTTTACCTCTTCGATATCTCACTACCCCACTGACAACGCCACTGCGCACTTCACCTCCGCCCAGTTTTGCGCTGGTTCGTCTGAATGGGCACTTTCTTTAATCGGCTACTCGATCGGTAGAAGGCCGTACTACGAAGCCCTACTCTCCACGATCAAAAAAGCTTGGAGCTTGAAAGGTTCCCTCTCTTTGCTCACCTTGGATGAGGGCTTCTTTCTCCTCAAGTTCAACAACAGGGAGGATTACGACATGGCATGGTCTGGCGGGCCATGGTTCTTTTTATATAAACCCTTTATACTTCAAAAATGGACGCTGGAGTTTGTTCCAGTCCGTGAAGAGTTTCCCTCCATCCCACTTTGGATAAAGATAAAAAATTTCCCACTTTCTTGCTGGACTCCCGACGGCATTTCAAGGATTGCGAGTTGTGTAGGAATTCCACTTGTTGTGGATGCTCTTACAGCGGCCAAAACGAAACTTACCTTCGCCAGGCTGTGTGTTCAGGTAAGTAGATCATCCCCTCTGCCGGATGTGATCTATTATACTGTGGATGATAAAACCTTCCCCCTATCTGTGCAATACGATTGGAAGCCTACCCACTGCACATTCTGTAATTCCATAATGCATGCCCCGAACGCCTGCCCCAAAAACCCCAACCCACAAATCACTGAATCCACTCATAACCGTGGTAGAAGCACCAGCCGCAAGCCAAGGAAACTACCACCCAGATTATCAATTCCCAAACCTCCTTCAATCTCCACTACCCCCCATCTGCCAACTCAGCCCCCACCACTCCTTCCCCCTCCTTCTACAGACCCACCTGTTTTGGCTGTAGAAGCTACAAGCTTGATGCCTAATCTTAACTCCCCCTCCGAGGATTACACCACCTCATCACACAACATTTCCATCATTATCCCATCTCCAAATGCTCATACCTCCCCTCCTGTCTCAACCAAGAATAAATTTGATGCCCTTTCAAACCAAGGCGCTCAAACTGACCCTCCATCTACGGCTGCCTCCCTTCTGAGATTGGCCATAGGGATAAACCGGTTGACACCTCTAAACCTTCGACCTCCTCCACTAATAACCAGCCCAATGTCCCTAACACCACCTCTACCAAATCCACAAGAGCAAAATCGGCTAAAAAGGCCACCACACCCACCTCAAAATCTCAATGACCAGACTCCCTCTCATGGCGTCCAGGAATACCCGCGGGTTCAATAGCCCGGACAAAGCCATTTGCTGCCAAAATTTTGTCAAAACCTTTAACCTTGATCTGATCTTTCTCTTAGAAACCAGAATCACCAACCCTTCTCTCCGCAGCCCCTAGTTTAACATCACACACTCTGTTTTTGCTGCTGAAGGCTCATATGATAACTTCGACCTTGCCTCTCCAGGTCGTATCTAGATAAAGTGGAACACGGCAACAGTGAATTTCAAGCCTCTTTTTACGTCTAGTAAGTTAATACATGGCTCTATTTTTTTGGCAATACTGAGGTTTATCGTGTGTCTGTGGTTTATGCCTCGAACTCTATGGATGAGAGGCTCACTTTGTGGAAGGATCTTTATGACATTACTGTTGGTATTTCGGGCCCTTGGATTATTTTAGGTGACTTCAATTGCTGCAGGTCACAACATGAGAAAGCTGGTGGCTCTTTACTTACCAATAGCAAGGTTTTAGATTTTAATAATCTAATTTTCAATATTTTTGTACATGATCTCTCTTCTGTTGGACACTACTTCACCTGGTTTAACCAAAGGGCGGACAACCCTATTCATATCAAACTCGATAGGATGCTGGTTAATAACAGTTGGCTCGATAGTTTTCCTAACTCATACTACATTGTGGATAGCCCTCGGATTTCTGATCACTAACCCATTATCTTGCACAATGATCAAACTCAACATCAGAAACACAGTTTCCTCTTCAAAAATTACTGGCTTACTAAAAATGAGTTCTGTGATTCTCTTATTCAGGTCTTTTCCCAAAGATTTCATAGCAGCCCTATACATGCCATCTATCAGAAGCTTAAAACTCTCAAGATCAACATCAAAGCAAAGATCTGGGTTTCCTCCAATTCTCTCCAGCAAGAAATTATAGAACTCACTAGCATCCAAAACTCTTTTCTGAGTCAAATTCAGGCCTCCCCTCTTGACCTTGAAATTAATTTGGCACTTAAAGACATCAACGGTCAACTAGCTGCTAAAAATTTTGATTGGTCTGGTTGGATTATTCAAAGAGCTAAGGCAAAATGGATGTCAAATGGGGAGGACGATTTTAAGTTCTTATACTCTAGGATCAATGTTAGACACAACTCCAATCAAATTAGGAGTATCATGACTATTGAGGGGACCTTCAATATCCTAGCTTATATCAATAATGCTATTGTCAGCCATTTCTAAAAGCTCTTCAACACTGCTTTACCATCCACCTCCTCTAGATGGAATGCTCCCATTCACCTCAAACTCCCCGCAAGTTTAATTCCTCAATTGATCACTCTAATTACGGTGGAGGAAATAAAGGCTGCTGTTTTCTCCTCCCCTAACTGCTCTGCTCCTGGCCCAGACGATTACACCTTTGAATTTTACAAATCTTCTTGGAACACAATTGGAAGACAACTCTGTGAGGCAATTTTATCCTTCTTCTCCACTAGCTCTATGCCTAAGCATGCTAAAGCAACCGCTATTGCTCTTATACTTAAAAGGCCACATGCTCAAGACATTGCTGATTACAGGCCAATATCACTCTGCAACACTTTCTATAAGATCATTGCTAAAATCCTAGCTAATAGAATGAAAGATGTTATGCCTTCCATCATTCACCCCAGTCAAGACAGATTCATCAAGGACAGAAATATCTCTGACAATATTCTCTTGGCGGCTGATATGCTCAAAGATTTCAATATCAAACCTAAACAGTCTTTTTTCTGTGTTAAGTTTGATATACACAAGGCCTTTGACACTGTCTCTGGGGAATTTCTGATTGGTCGTATGCTTTCCAAAGGATTTTCTGATGTGTTTGTCTCATGGATCAATGGTTGTATCTCTGTTGTCCACTTCTCTGTCTCCATTAACGGATCCCTTGAGGGTTACTTCCACTCCTCCTCCGGCCTCAGATAAGGATGCCCTCTATCGCCTTATCTCTTCTACATTGTCATGGATAGCTTATCCTTTTGTTTTGAAGAAGCAGGATCTAATCATTCCTTAATTGGTATGGAGGCTGGGAACTTTTCTATCTCTCATCTACTATATGCTGATGACCTTTTGGTCTTTGCTAAGGCTAATCAGGGCAATGCTCACTCTTTGAACCACATTCTTTCTAGCTTTGCTAGCATCTCCGGGATTCAAGTGAATAGCAATAAGAGTAAAATTCTTTTCTCTAAGAATACTTTAGATGAACATGCTATCAGCAATATCCTGAATATCCCAATTTCGACAACCCCAATTAAATATCTTGGCATTCCGATCTTCACTAGGAAACTGAAAATTTGTGATTTTCAGCCTCTATTGTATAAGATTTCTGTTTCTTTGGATGGCTGGAAAGCAAGGATCCTCTCTATGACTGGTAGACTTCAATATCTCAACTATACTATCAACAACATCCTTGTCTATTGGGTTCGTGGGACTGTGATTCCTAAAACTTGTGTTAAAAAGATCAAAAGCCTCTGTTCTAGGTTTCTTTACTTTGGGGACATTAACAGGAGAAAATTGCATATGATATCTTGGAAAGAGACTTGCAAACCGAAAATTTATGGGGGGCTCGGGGTGTCCTCCATTCAGTCTCTTTATTTTGCTTGTGGTTGTACTGTGGTTTGGATATTTTACAACTCTAAAAGCTACCTTTTTTACTGGTGGAAGGAAAAATACGGATCTTTTTGGAATACCAGTAAGCCTAAATGCTCAGTTTATTGGAAGGCTCTATGTGTTGTTGCTAAATGTTTGCTACACTCTCAATTTCAAAATCATACTGAGCAGCAATTTGTCATTCTTTTGGGACCCATGGTGTTTTGGGTAATCTGTGGCTGAACGCCTGGAGCAGGAAAACATTCATTATATGATCACACCATCCAATTCTAATTTGAAAGTTAGCAGTTTTATTTCTAACGGTAACTGGAACGTTTCTTTACCTATTCCAGCGTGTTTAGCTGATATGATTCTATCCATCCCAATTTCTAATACGCTGGATGACTGCTGTTGGACTAGTCCTACTAAACCTTCCTTTAGCACTTTCACTAAGCAATTTTTTGAGGATTCTGAGAAGGTTTCTTGGTATAATTTTGTTTGTCATAAACATTATACTCTGCGGTACTCACTTTACTCTTGGA